CAATAGTGATTTAAAGCATTTTTCACATGCCTATAGATGGCTTTGATTTCTTCTTCTGAAAACTGTCTGTTCATATATCTTGACAATTTACCAGTTGGGGGATGGTTCTAAGTTTTATAAATTTGACTCAGTTCCCTATATATTTGAGAAAAGAGGCCTTCATCAGAGAAACTAGCTGTAAAAAATTTTTTATATTCTTCATTGTCTGTGGTATTTTTAATCAAAATGTAGTTTCCCTGATTATCTCTTTTAATTAGATCTATTTTTGCTTTTGTTTTGTCTGAGATCATGATCCTTACCCCTACCTTTTTTACTTCAGATGAAGCATAATAGATTCTGTTCCATCTCCTTATGTTAGCTCCATATGTCTTTCTGTTTAAAATGTGTCTCTTGTAAACAACATATTGTTGGATTCTGGCTTCTCCTTCATTCTGCTATCTGTTTTCCTTTTATGGGTGAGCTCATTCCATTCACAGTTATGTTTGCTAACTGTGTATTTCCCTCTATCCTATTTTCTTCTGTTTATCCTTCTCTCTGTTTTTATCCTATCCCTCCTCAAAAGTCTGTTTTGCTTCTGACCTCTGCCTCTCTTAATCCACCCTCCTTTTTGTCATCCCTGACCCTCTCCCCTTTCTCTTATCCCCTTTCCTCCTATTTCCCTCTTGGGTAAGATAGATTTCCATTCCCATCTGAGTTGTATGTGTGTGTGTGTGTGTGTGTGTGTGTGTGTGTGTGTGTGTGTGTGTGTATTCTTCCCTCTTTGAACCAATTCTTTTTTTTGTTTTTTGTTTTTGTTTGTTTGTTTTTTTGGCTGGGCAATGGGGTGAAGTGACTTGTCCAGAGTCACACAGCTAGTAAGTGTTATGTGTCTGAGGCCAGATTTGAACTCAGGTCCTCCTGAATCCAGGGCTGGTGCTCTATCCACTGTGCCACTTAGCTGCCCCTCTTTGAACCAATTCTAATGAGAGTTTCAAGTATTACCCACCACCTTCTACCCTCCCCAATTTTCCCCTCCCTTTATGCCTCTTTTATGTGAGATAATTTCCCCCATCCTACTTCTCCCTTCCTTCTTCTCCCAAAGCATGCCTCTTTCACACCCCTTCATTTTTTTTTGGAGTTCATCACAATGTAACTGACTCACACCCATGCCATCTAAGTAAACTGCTTCTAATTGTCCTAATATTAATAAAATTCTTGGGAATTACATGTATCATCTTCCCATATAGGAATGTAAACAGTTTAACTTTATTGAGTCCTTATGATTATATTTTCATGTTTACTTTTTTATGCTTCTCTTGAGTCTTGTGTATGAATATCAAATTTCTATTCAGCTCTGGTCTTTTCATCAGTAATGCTTGAAAGTGCTCTATTTCATTAAATACCCATTTCACCTCCTGAAGGATTATACTCTGTTTTGCTGGGTAGATTATTCTTGATTGCAATCCTAGCTCCTTTGCCTTCCAGAATATTATATTCCAAGCCCTCCACTCCTTTAACATGGAAGTTGTTAAATCTTGTGTCATCCTGACCATGGCTCCATGATATTTGAATTGTTTCTTTCTGGCTGCTTGAAAAATTTTCTCCTTGACCTGTAATCTCTGGAATTTGGCTCTAATATTCCTGGGAATTTTCATTTTAGGATCTCTTTCAGGAGGTGATCAGTGGACTTTTTCAATTTCTATTTTACCCTCTGGGGTAGTTTTCCTTAATAATTTCTTAGAATATGATGTCTAGGCTCTTTTTTGATCATAGCTTTCAGGTCATATAATAATTCTTAAATTATTTCTTCTCAATCTATTTTCCAGGTCAGTTGTTTTTCTGATGAGATATTTTACATTATCTTAAATTTTTTATTATTTTGACTTTGTTTTATTTTTTCTTGAGGTCTCATGGAGTCATTAGCTTCTAGTTGCCCAGTTCTAATTTAAAGGAATTATTTTCTTCAGTGAGCTTTTGTACCTCTTTTTCCATTTGGCCAATTCTGCTTGTTAAGGAGGTCTTTTTTTTTCAATGAATTTTTTTTCAGTGAATTATTCAGTGAATTTATCTTCAGTAAATCTTATACCATTAGGTCAATTCTGGTTTTTTTTAAGGTGTTATTTTCTTCAGTATTTTTTGTACTTCTTTTACCAAGCTGTTAATTCTCTTTTCATAATTTTTTTCACATCACTCTCATTTCTTTTCCCATTTTTTTTTCTCTACAATTCTTCTCTCTTTCTGTAACACTTTCAGGAATTCTTATTGGGTTTGTGTCAAATTAGTATTTTTCTTTGAGGTTTTGGTTATGTCTGTTTGTTCATTGTTATCTTCTGAGTTTGTGGTTTGATTTTCCTGCCACTATGGTATATAGCTTTTTATGGTCGAGTTCTTTCTGTTGTTGTTGTTGTTCATTTTTCCAGCCTATTTCTTGACTCTGAACTGTAAGTTAAAGTTGGGCTCTGTTCACCTAGGGGTAAAAAAAACACTATCCTAAACACCAAGCTTTTTTTTTTTTTTGCCGTTCTTTTAGAGCTAGTTCTGGGGGTCTGCAAGTTTTTGGTGCTTCCAGGGTGGTCATTGCTCTCCTGGTCTGTGCTCTCCTTTACCCAGGAAGGGCCCCTGTTACTCTGCAGTTGTAAGTGTTAGTGCTCTTCTTGGCCTTGGAGCTGTGCCCAGAGTCCTTGCTCCCTTTTGACTGACCACAAGCACTCTGCTCCGCCCTGTAATTGTGACTCAGAACTGCATCTGGGCAGTAGAGTTGTCAATCAGTGCCAGCTGCAAAGGGTCCCCTATAATCTCTTTCTGACCAGTTGTCGGACCCCCATACTTCCTTGGATGTGAGGTCCTGAAGCTGCTGCTGCCACTCCTACTATCACAGCCACCTTGAAGGCCCACTACTAGTGCTGCCGCCACCTACACTCCAGGCCAGCCCCACCCCCATGCCACAGACCTTTCCTGCCAAACTTCTAAGTTGTCTTAGGCTGAAAAAAAATGCCTCACCCTGACATTTTCTTGACTCTGACACTCCAAAATTCAATCTCAGGTGTTATTTTAAAGTTCTTGAGGGAGGGATGTTGGGAAAGTTTGACTGGGTTGCTGACTTTAATCTACTATTCCTCCACCCCACCTCTCATTCACTTTTTTTGGGGGGGAGGGACTAGGCAATGGGGTTAAGTTACTTGCCCAGGGTCACAAAGCTAGTTAAGTGTCAAGTGTCTGAGACTCAATTTGAACTCAGGTCCTCCTGACTCCAGGGCCAGTGCTCTATCCACTGCGCCATCTAGCTGCCCCCTCATTCACTTTTAAGTGGCATGGTCAGCCCTGCCTGGTCTCGTCCTAGGTCCCTTGAGTTCTTGTAATGATTTCTGTCTCCCAGGGATAAGTCCCTTCGACATGAGCCCTGGGTCTGGCATCTCAGGATACAATGTTAGTGGCCTCAGAGCCCCTGAGCCTGGGCTGTCTTGATGTGAGCATTGCAGAGGCATAGAGCTGGTTGGCACCAAACTGGTCACTGCCTGCTGCCACTCTGTGGGGCTTTCAAGATTCCTGGAGGACTTTCTAACCACCCTGGAGCTTTCTCAGGAGAGCCTCCACGCTCACTGCTTCTGAACACATAGCTTTCTCATGTCCTTTCTCTGATGCTTACTTTGTTGGAAAGACCCTTGATCCCACTGTGTATGAGCTTTGAGCCAGACTCAATGTCCCCAATAGGTGCTTCAATCCTGCTTCATGTTCTGTGTTTTCCTTTTCCCTCACCATCTTAGTCAGTCAACAAGCATTTATTAAGCACCTACTATGTGTCAGATACGAACAAAGACAAAAGGCAGGCCCTGATCTCAAGGAACTCACAGTCTAAAGGGGGAGAGGACTTGCAAACAGCTATACATAAAGAAGATAAAAATAGAAAAAAAAAGAAAAAAAAAGATAAAAATAGAGATTAAATTAGAGATAAACTAGGGCAAACCCTATCATTGAGGAGGATAGGGCAAAGCTTCTTATAGAAGGTGGAAGCTGGGATTGTAGCTAGGAACTTGAAGGAAACCCGGGAGGCCAAGAGATGACATACCAAGAATATGGAATAGCCAATACAATGCCCAGAGCTGGCAAATAGAGTGTCTTGTAGGAAGAAAAGCTCCTCTGGCTGGACTCCAGTAATAATGTGACGGAGAGAAGTACGAGTGGTCAGTGCCAATTTTGATGGGGTTGTATCTTCCCTTATAACGATTTGCCAGTAACCTAGTTTATTTTACGTGTACTCTAATTTTGTTTGTGCTCTAGACTTTAGGGTTTCAAGGCAGGGGTACTTCGATGCATGAGTTAGTTTTATCCTAGCCTCCCTGGTCCAATTTCCATTCAATCCCTACCATTTGGGTCATTTAAAACCCCACCTTTGCTCTGGTCTCTAAGCCCAATCCAATATTGGGAAATGAAAATATTAGAACTCCTAGAGCCATAGCTAGATGTCTCACCGTGAAGTCAGCCTTACTCCTACTCTTGGCCCAATCTTATATCCCTAGATTAGGTAATACTAGTCTTGTCTCTCCTTCTCCCTTCTCCCAACTCCCCATGCCTGAGGCTCTGCTTGGTTCCCTTAGTTTAAATCCCAAATCTTCTCGGGATTAGGCTGCTCATTCTGAATTCCATCCCAGGCTCTGTGGCTGGGTCTCTACCATCATCTGCCTGACCTCTCTGGAATCATCTGCTATCCTGCCTGGACCTCTATACAGTCCCCTCCTGACACTGGCTGTTAATTGAGACATCTGCCACTCACTTATTCACTAGACCTCCGAGAGGCTTACTGTCAGCCTGCCTAGACTTCTCTGTATTGCTTGATGCTGGACCCATCACCAGTTTCCTGTCCTGCCCCAATTATTTGATCTATTCTCTCTAAGATCCCTTCCAGTTCTAAAATATGTGATTCTGTTGTATATAGTTCCAGATATCCTGGACCATAGGGTTCTTATGATGCCAAATGGAAGAACCATTGTGCTTACCTGTCTTACCTTACCTTTCCTTACCAGATTTATTTTTACTGGCTATGTCGAGACACACATGCCTTTGAATGGTTTGCAGACCTGCTGCAGTCACTAGAGACCCAAATGCAGCAGAAGGACAATGCTGATTTTCTCAGCTACAACATCTACCTTACCGGCTGGGATGAATCTCAGGTAACAACAAAATCAAAGTGGGCCTCTTTATGGATTTTTTTTTTTGTTTTTTAGGCAATTGGGGTTAAGTGACTTGTCCAGGGTCACACAGCTAGTAAGTGTCAAGTGTTTGGTCTGAGGCTGGATTTGAACTCAGGTCCTCATGACTTCAGGGCTGGTGCTGTATCCACTGCACTATCTAGCTGCCCCTCAAAGTGGGCCTCTTACTTCTCTACAAAAGTGCCTGAACTGCCCTTCTGTCCTGCGATGTCTATTTGGAAATCATTTTGGAAGATGTGTCAGTAAGAGTTCCTATCCTGGGGCAGCTAGGTTGCACAGTGGATAGAGCACCGGCCCTGGAGTCAGGAGGACCTGAGTTCAAATTCAGCCTTAGACACTTGACACTTACTGTGTGACCCTGGGCAAGTCACTTAACCCCAATTACCTTGCATAAAAAAAAAAGAAGAAGAAGAAGAAGGAAGGAGTTCCTATCCATCTACTCTCTCTCACTGCCTACCCCTGATGGACCATCAGACACCATGAGCAGGCTGGAATTCTCCATGAAATCTATAGTTTGTGGGGCAGAACAAGCCCCAGTTACTAATAACTTTAATAACAGTAACAATAATAACAGCTAGCATTTATGTAGCATTTTATTGTTTACAAAGCACTTTACATATGCAAGGGGGACCAAAAGTCTTAGTGCAGTTTTAAGCTTTATTAACTATATTATTTGATGCTTACAACAACCCTGGGAGGTGTATTATTATTCCTCTTTTATAGATTAGGAAACTGAAACACAGAGGTTAAATGATTTTTTTGAGAATCACTTGGCTCAAGTATCTGAGACAGGATTCAAACTCACAGCTTCCTGACTCCAAGTCCAGAGCTCCATCCACCATACCACCTACCTGCCTATTGACATCCTTCTCTCTCAGGCTCCACACCACTACATTTTATCTTTTCACTCTGCATTAGGCTCTTTATTTTCCTGATAAACTATAAGCTCTTTCAGGGCAGGGACTGTGTATCTGGTATCTCTTCCAGCAGAGATACTTAGCTAATGTTTGCTGTTATTAATTGGATATGAGGTCTATAGTTTAGTGTTTTAACCAACTGAACCACTCATTCCTGGAGTCATTGAAGGATAGAATATTAGCATCAAAAGGAGGAGTTTAGAGATTCTTTAGTTCAAGGGTTCTAAACCACTTTTTGTACCATGGACCCCTTTGGCAGTCTGGTGAAGCCTATGGACCCCTTCTCAGAATAATGGTTGTTCCTTGCATTTGAAGGAAATTTGAATGTGAAGGAAATGATAAATCGAAGAAAATTAAAGTTCAGTTAGAGGTTAGTGAAAACAAAGATGTAATTTATTTTCTTATCCAAATTCATGGATCCTTTGAGATCTATCCATGGATCCTTTAGGACTGTGGAATCCCCAGGTTAAGAACCCCTGATTTAGTTCAATTCTTCCATTTTATAAATAAGGAAACTGTGTCCAAGAAAGGTTAAATAACTTTATCAGTGTCACACAGGAGATTATTGAGAACTGGGCCTCAAACCCTGGGCCTTCTCTCTTCTACACCAGTGTTCTTTACAATGTGTTATACCATATAGCCTCAGATTGACTTATTCACCCTCCAGCATGCTAAGCAAATGCTTATTTCTTTCCCCTAAACTATTTCATTGTGGGCGGTTTAAACTGTCACCCTAAGGGTTGCTTCTAACCTCAAACCTTGAGCAACATCTGACCCTCCTAGATAGGAGCTCTCTGCAAGCCTATATGGTCTTAGAGGGAGTGATATTCAGACTACCACCCTCAAGCTCTATGTGGCTCTTTTACGTGTAATCCATAGCTCCCTGGGACTTCTAATTTATGAATTAGAATAGTCTATTTCTTGGGTTTATTCCCCCCTCCCACTCTAGGAGTCTTGTGGCTTTTTTGGCTAATTGTGATCAGGAAAACCCAAGTTCCAATCTTGCCTCAGATATTTACTAGCTGTGTGACCTGGGCTTGTTCCTTAATTTCTCTCAGCCTCATTTTATTCCTCTGTAAATAAGAATAATAATAAGATCTACCTATCAGGGTTGTTATGAGGATCAAATGAGATAATACATGTAAAGAACTTTGCAAAGTTATTGCAAAGATATTTCATATACACAATACACACATAAATATTCCTATACATATACATACACACATATATGCTGCCTATTATTATGTGACTCTAGACTCCTATAATTGTGAGTACTGTTACTAATCTTGAACAAGGCAATTCAAAATTCCCACTTCCGTAAGTAAAAAAAAAGGTCATAGATAAAAATGAAGCCATAAAAAAAGATTTCTATAATATGCAAGGGTATTGTTGTTCAGTTTTGTCTGACTCTTTCATAACCCCATTTGGGGTTTTCTTGGCAAAGATATTGGAGTGGTTTGCCATTTCGCTCTCCAGCTCATTTTTACAGATGAGGAAACTGAGGCAAATAGGGTTAAGTGACTTGCCCAGGATCCCACAGCTAGTAATTATCTGAGGCTGAACTTGAACTCAGGTCTATGCTGACTCCAGACCCAGCGCTGTATCCACTGTGCCATCTAGCTGCCCAAATATGCAAGGGTACTCTGCTTAAGTAAAACCAAATTTAGGAAAATCTGAACTTTCCAAGTAGACAAATGTGGCTATTTGAGTCGAAAATAATTTTTTTTTTGCTTTTTAAAAAAGAATTACCTCAAGTTTCTTTTTAAATAGAGTAAAGCCCCAAGTTCTAAATCACCTAAAATAAAATTTAATTTTTAAAAATAAATAATTCACTTACAACACTTTTAGGTACATATCTGTTGTATTAATAGAGGTGCTCCCATAATTGGGGTCTGAGGAATAAAACAACGAGGGCAAAAAGAGAAACTGTCTTGTTTTTATTTTTAAGAATGAGTTATTCTCTAATTTTATGTAGCTCACAGAATTACAAAGAATTCTAGGTCTTTAATAGTTCTTATAAAGTAGGAGAAGGAAAGGGAAATAAAGACCTTAGAGTGAGAGAAATATAAACATGTCAGGATAAATTTTTGCAGACTCCTGTAGTATTTTCATTTTTTTTTTCCTATAGGCCACTCACTTTACTGTGCACCATGATGAAGAGACAGATGTGATAACAGGCTTGAAACAAAAGACCTTGTATGGAAGACCCAACTGGGAAAATGAGTTCAAAACCATTGCAAGTCAACACCCAAAGTAAGACAGCAAATCCATATTGAGAGTCCCCAAGTCAACCTGAAACTGTATAATAGAGGAAAATTCTTCTGTTAGCCCTTTGGAACTCATTATTACCTGTTATATAAACTTAGACACTGTCACTTTCATGGATCACATAAGAGATAAAGGGAAGAGTGATCTCCCCTTTGACAACAAAGTACTTACGTGAACTGTTCTGTGGACTGGAAAACAAGAAAAGAACCAGATGTGTTTGGGCAGGGCATAAGTGTAGGGAGGACATAAAATCCTTTTACAAAGCCCAAAGATTCACTTTCTTTGAATTAAATCTCCTTGATAACAAATTGCTATTGAGAAAGATGATTGGCTAGAGTCAAGGGTCCAGTCTATGTCTTTGTTCTTTATGACTGTGAACGCCCTCCATATTTGGACAGTCATTTACTAAATGTGTGTTCTTGGTCATGGTCAGTGAGAAAGAGTGGGAATTAACCACCATCATTACCATAGGGAAGTAACTGAAAGCATATGCCCTACTTATGATAGAGCAGCAGGGCACTCTTTTTATATTGTATTAGAGGCCCAGGGCCAGGAAAACATAAAGGGAAGCCCCATTTTGCTAAAACACAGTTGATCCAAGAGATCCTGGTGCCACTGGGTGTTAGAGAGTGCCCACATCTCCAAAGGCTGGCTGTTCGTTTATGCTGCAGCTCTTGAAGCCCCAGTTGCTAGATATGCAACTGCTCAAATGCGGATGGCTGGATGCTGCGAAATGAGGCAGCCCAGCAGACTCACAAAGCAATGGCTATTTCCCTAATAGAGGATATTTCTACCTAATTTCTACTTTTATATCATTCCAAGGCAGTTATGTACCTCTAAAGTTATGAATCTATAAATAGAGTTGAGCTAAGCCAAGGGAAAGTCCAGTTCATTCTCCCAAGTTGGTGGGAAAATGTGTACCTTTGGCTGCTTGGGACTCTGGGGAAGGAGCTACTGTGTTTTGCCACTGGGGAAAAAAACTGCTGAAGGACTTGGCATTATGGGAATTAACTCAGGAGCAATGTAACCCTTTTTGTACAAACCAATAATGTCTCCTTAATACTGGATGTTTTATTCTTTCCCTCCCTAGTACCAGGATAGGTGTGTTCCTTTGTGGACCTGAAGCATTGGCTGACACTCTCAACAAGCAAAGTATTGCAAACTCTGATGCTGGCCCTCGAGGAGTGCATTTCATTTTCAACAAAGAAAACTTCTAATTCTTGCTCCATCAGGAAATGTGGACATGAGCCTTATGTCCAGTCAGACAAATGCTGATCATTAATAGAAACAAACAAAAACTAGGGAAGCCTTTTACAGCTTTTATATTCTACCTATGTGGTAATCATTTCTGAAGTAGCATTAGTCTTTAAACAAGACAAAAGAAAACTAGTTGATTCATTTTCTTTTTGTTATTGTGTGTTATCTAAGTGGCTCCAACATATGCACAAGAAAACTGTCCAAGTATTTAGGAACCAGCTTACCCAGACATTGACTCAGCCCTTCGATGATTCAAGGAGGTTAGCAGTGGAGCCTGCTGCAAATTGCTAATAGAGCATCCCAATTCCATAAACCAGAAACATTTCCAAGAAAAGGTTTAGTTCAGGCAATATTAGAATTAGGAAAAATCATTTAAACAGAAAGCTTTTCAAAAATATTCCCATAATATACTCTAAAAGGCAGGGAGCTGGCACTGTGGATAGAGATCTGGGCCTTGAGTCAGGAAGACCTGAGTTCAAAACCTGCTTCAAGCATTTACCAGTGGTGTGACCCTAGGTGAGTCACTTTACCATCTCTCTGCCTTAGTTTCCTTAACTGTAAAATGAGAGCAGTGATAGCACCTACCTTACAGGTTTGTAGTGAGGATCAAATGAGATATTATTTGAGAAGTACTTAACACAGAACCTGGTAGGTGCTATAATAAAGGCTTATTCCCTCCTCTGTCCCTGAATAGAGTACTGAGCTTAGAGTCATGAAGACCTGAGTTCAAATCTTGCCTCAGACAATGGCTGTATGAACCTGAACAAATCGCTTAACCTATCTCAGTCCCAGTTTCCTAATCGACAAGGTGGGTATAATAATAGCCCCCAACTCCACAGGGTTGTTGTGAGAATCAAATGAGAAAACATGTGAAGGGCTATGCAAATTCTACCTATTAGTATTATTATTTTTGTGTTCCTTGTACAGACCAGAAAGGCCTGATTCTCCTGCTTGTAGGGCCCTAGCCTAAGTTAAGTAATTCCATCTGTTCTTACATGTTCGAATTTCAAGTACGCAATGACCATCAGAGATAGTAGCCATTCATTTTCTTGGATGGCGTGCACTAGGCAGTGTAGGTCCTAGATTCTAACAGCAGAAGATGAGTGATTTTGCCATGGTTTAGACTGAATCCTCCAGCCCGATGCCTTACACATGCAACTATGAAAGGGTAAAACATCGGAAAAATGGGGAATTAATTCAACATGGTAAATCCCTTCACCAATGCAGATCACAGCCCCTGTAAAACTTCTGTGACTTAGCTGATAATTTCAAGGTGGCACCTGAAGCATCTGGAAGTTAGTGACTTGCCCAGGATCACACAGCTAGCAGATATCCCATGGGGGATTTGAACTCATGTCTTCTCAACTCCTAGCCCAGAGTTCTAGCTCTGCCTTCATCTCTAGACCCAGTCAAGTGTTCAGTAGTTACTTGCTAATGATAAAATTAGGTGAAGGTGGACCACCTGTCTTGCAGACAGCCAGGACTTCTCTCCCATAGTCAAGGTTAATGAGTTTGAAGCAAATAATTTACAATGAATGAGTTATGTAATAAACCTGTATGATTTTAAATGGCTCCCATGACCACTCTCTAAGCTTTTTTTTCAAGTGTACATAATTTTTATTTAGTAAATTTTATTTGACTTTGTTACTGGCCTGAAATTTATAGTATACAAATTAATGAGGCAGCTAGATGACACAGAGGATAGAGCACTAAACCTGGAGTTTGGCCTCAAATCCTGCCTCATAGAGAGAGTGTGACCCTGTGCAAGTCACTTAACTGTGCTGCCTGCCTCAGTTTCCTCCTCTGTAAAAATAATAACTCCTCCCAATGTTGTTGTGAGGATAAAAATAAGTCAGTATTTGTAAAGTGCTTTGCAAATCTTAAAATGTTGTATAAATGCTAGCTATTATTCAATCAGTCAATGAACAAAATTTATTAAGTGCCTATCATGTGCCAGGGACTATGCTAAATGCTTAGGATACAAATAGGGCAAAAGACAGTTCCTACTCTCAAGGAAGTCACAGTCTATTAATAACAAGTATTATTATTATAACACCACCCCCATAAGGTTTGAATAGGACATATTTTCCCCTGACATTTAAAGGAACAGTTACAAATTTAATTTGTGTCCCCCAGCCGTAGCTTGTTCCTAGAACTGTGCTCATTTCTGGGGAGGGAAAATGAACAGAGCTCCTTTGGCGGAGTTCACTCTTTAGACTATGAGGGTTTTTATTACTCTAGAGGAGGAAGGAGAAGGGGAAAAGGAGAAGGAGGGAATAAAGGTGGGAAAAACAGAGCAGGGAGGGGTAAATTCCAAAGGGAAGAGAGAAAGAGAATAGAAAGACAGTGAATTTCTAGATTATGGAAAGAACATTGGATTTCAAATCCCAGTTATGCTACTCACTCACTATCTATGTCTCATTGGACAAGTCACCAAACCTCTCTGGCCTTCATTCCGTCCTGTGTAAAAGGACAGGGTGGGAATAGATCATCTCTAAGATCCCTTTCGTCTCTAAACCCTGTGATCCTATGACTTCTGAGAAGAATAGAAAAGTGTAAAAGAGAAAGAGGAAAGAGAAGGTTCAGAGACCTGTTTTCAGAAGGCTAACCAACATTATGTTCAAGGTTTTCTACTGACTTTGGATAGCCAGGTATGCATTTCAGGTGCCCAGACCTTGAATAAACTTGAAGGTTTCATGTATGAACTGATTCTCTGTCTTTCTCATGTTTGAAGTTCTTCAATTCTACAAGGAAATTTATGAAAGGTAGATTCAGATTAAGGTGTCATTGTCTCTTAATTTTCAATTATGAAAAATTTCTTCTCCCCTGTCCATCAGACAAAAATAAAAACAAAACCCTTTTAACAAATATGCATAATCAAACAAAAAAAATTCCTAAGTTGGCCTTGTTCATAAATGTAGGTCTCTCTCTACCTATTTAGCCTGTCACCTCTCTGTCTTCATAATCAGACATCTGGAATCAGGATTGATCATTACATTGATTAGAATTCTTAAGTCTTTTCAAGTTGTTTGTTTTTATGTTGTTGCAATAATATAAATTGTTCTGATTCTGCTCATTTCACTCAGTATCAGTTCGTATAAGTCTTCCCAGGTTTCTTCAAAATGGTTCCATTTCATCATTTCTTCTGGCACAATAGTATTCTACAGTATTTTATTAATTCATATACCATGCGTTGTTCAGTCATTCCATGACTGATGGGTATCCCCTTCATTTCCAGTACTTTGCCACTACAAAAAAAAAAGAATTGATTCAAATATTTTTTGTTAATCCCACTGAAGCTAGGATACTCGTCTGATTTAAAATGGTTCATACCACTCTTTTTTAAATTTTTTTTAAAGAGTATTTTAAGTACCTAATTGCAGATTTTTCTTTGACTTGCTGCAAGCTATACTCGAGCAACTAGATGGAGCAGTGGATAGAGTGCCAGGTCTGGAGTCAAGAAGACTCCTCTTTCTAAATTCAAATCTGGCTTACTTACTTACTAGCTGTATGATCCTGGGCAAGTTTGCCTCGGTTTCCTGGAGAAGGAACTGGCAAACTATTCCAGTATCTTTGCCAAATAGGGTCACAAAGAGTAGGAAACAAATGAACAACAAAAGTTATACAGAGGAAATTAACCCCTAACCTATTTTGCAGAAGTTTAATTGGACACATTTATCCTAACTAATAAGAACTGATTGGGCCAACCATAACTAAAACATCAAAGAGTTGTCCTAGCTTATTATTCTGCCTTAGGCGTAGATTCCCATAGTAGATGTTTGGATCCAAGCGTTCCACTTTGCACATGATAACTAAGTTCTGGTAATCTATATGAGAGCATATTCCTTTTCAGTCAAGTTGAAAAAGAAAACCATGATGAATGTAATTTGCAAATCCTAGTTTTCTTTTTTTTTCTCTTTACCCTGGTGATATAACAGAAAACATCTTCATTTGTCTGTTGGAGAATTTTCCTTTTGAATGGCTAAGGGAAATTCTAATGGTGATTAGCTACTTCTTATTGCTAAAAATACGGGAAATAATCAGAAAATCTAGCATGTGATAAGGGCTTTAAGATGAATAGTGGTTATTAAATACTTTTTATTGCAAACATTTAAGCATTTCTCTCCCCCTTTTGCCCCTCATTTACCTTCCAGTTACTAGCTTTTGATTTTGAGCATTTAATTAACAACATTAACAGGAAGAAAACACATTCATGAAGGATCTAAGCTGTTTATCCTTTAAAACCATGAAAATCTTAGTGTTCTGTGCTGTTTTTTTTTTTCCCCAAAATGAATTGAATTTCACTCAGAGTTTGGGATTCTTCTACCTGTCGGTTTTTGTTTTGTTTTGTGAATGCCTGTAAAGATTCATTAAACTTTCTATGAGACATTAAAGTCAACGAGCCATCTTTCTTTGTCACTGATATTGTTGTGAAGGGTTACGGTTGTCCCTGTCTCAGTAGGCTTGTGATTCTGTCAGAGCTGTTGAACTTAACAGCACCAAGACAAAAGACTGTCTTTTGGATGACAAGAGGAGTCTGAGTGAAGAACACTCTATGAGACTCCCCTTACGTAGCACAAGCACAAGGGATGCTTTCCCATGCCGCTAGTACTGTTGATGACTCAGAAGTGAGAAATGGTCAGTACAGCTCCCTTTCTAGAGTTCTGACACTTACAAAGCTTCCATTGGCTGGTTTAGACATTCGTTCAGTTTGGTGTTGTTGTTGCTGCTGTTGAGTCATTGCAGTAGTATCTAACTCTTCGTGACCCCATTTGGGGTTTTCTTGACAAAGACACTGGAGTGGTTTGCCATTTCCTTCTCCAGCTCATTTTACAGATGAGGAAACTGAGGCAAACAGGGTTAAGCGACTTGCCCGGGATCACATAGCTAGTAAGTATCTGAGGTCAGATTTCAACTCAGGTCCACCTGACTCTAGGGCTAGCTAAATTTAAGTCAGAGGTTGGTGAAAATGAAGATGTAACATTTTCCCCAACCAAGTTCATGGATCCTTCTGAACTCTATCACTCAGGTTAAAAACCCATGATCCAGAGCTAAAAGGAACTTCAGAGGTCAAATAGTCCCTCTCCCTCATTTTACAGATGAAGAAAGTGCGATCCAGGGAGATTAAGTGATTTACCCAAGGTC